ATGGCGGCGCCCATGCAGAGCTGCTGAAAAGCGCCTTGAGTTTGTTTACGCTCAAGTCCAGACGCAGTCAGCGCTACGAGGTAATGGGCCAATCAAGCAGAGTCAAAAGCGTAAATCAGCCTCATCTCTTTATGATTAACTCAACGATGATAGAGCACGTACGGAGACATGAAAAGTGCCATGCTGATGCTCTTTTGACACTATAGTATTGATCCTATCAGCTTGTAGCATCGGCTGCGTCTGGACTTTAAGGTTAGACGAAGTATAGTGCAGGGCTCTATACTATTTGTGGAAGCAAGTAGCCTACGTTTAGGACGTTGGACTGCTTGCTTTCTCATGGAGCTCAAAATTAGGGAGAATGCAACGCTAGCAGTTGGGGTGGAACGCGAAAGTTTCAGAACATGACGTTACCTGGATCGAAAGACAACCGAGGAAAAGAATATTTACGTATAAGTCAACATCCACCTAAGCCTAACTTCGTCAAAGTAAAAAAGTACATTGTGGGCGCCTTTAGCATCTATTTCAGTGAAACAAGGTTTTCAGCAAGAAAAAAAAACGTTATTCTTTTCCTTGCTGGCAAGTGTTTTGCAGTGATGTAAATCCCACGAGCGTTTACAATATCATTTCTTGTTTTGACGTTATTAGGCTTTGGTAAATCTCGGCTCATTGAGATTTTGTTCCTCGGGTACCTTTTATTCTCATATGTTCAGAAAATATCCCGTTACATGTAGGGTTCGGAGTTTTCGGTTTCAACCGATAAAAACCGATAAAAGTACGCCGAATCCATTTCGGAAATTCGGTTTCAACCGAAAAAAAGTCCTTGTTTAGGTTCGGCTTTTTCGATTGAAACCGATAAAAGGAAGCCGAATCCATTCTCTAAAATTCTGTTTTAACCGAAAATGGTCATTTTTTTAGGCTCGCGCCGAGATGGGCTGGGGTTGGTGGAAGAGGGGGAGGAAAGAGAGGGCGTTGCAAGGTTCGACATTGTGTGACCTCTTCGTGATTGCCCTCTTCCAAGGTTCAACATGCAACAAAAGAGGTCTTGGGTTGTCCTTCACGGGATATCTGTGTCCTTTTTGTGATCGGGCTTAGCGTGTCAAGTTCCTCGTTCTAAAAGATAAAAGTTCGGGTGTGGGCTAGTATAAGGTTTTTTAGCTTCACAGATCTGCAGCCAGAATTTAGTGAGTACACGAAATTTGTCGTGCTTCGAAACGTCGCACCGTGTCTCTTTTGGTAGTCACATTTGGTTGATTGGCCATTTTTGGTTGAGGCAGCGCTTCATCTCCTCAGCGTGCCAGTGTTAACGTTGTGAGGGCATTCTCGAAGCCCAGGGTCATTAACAGGAAAGAATGGGCGTGGATACACGAGGAGAACTTGGAAAAGTACATATATGTTTGCTATAATAAGGGCACATAATCCTGTAGTACAAAAAATTTATATTTTTTTCACCGTTGCATACACTTGCCATATAAAATGTCGAGTTTTTTTTTTGTTTCGTTTTTTTTGTTGTCTTTTTTTAATGTATCTGTGCCGTTATTCCTTGAGGGATCACAAATATCAGAGCTACAAGGATCATCTCATCCGGTGTCCGATGGTGTTTTTCTTTCATATTCACCAAAAAGAAAACGGTAAACTTTTGAGGGCATAAATATACAGCGCCCTCCCCCCCCCCCCCCCAAAAAAAAAAACGATTAAAATAAACACAAAAAAAAAGTACGCCGAATTTCGAAAAAATGAAAACCGAAAACGCGGAACCCCAGTTATATCCAAACCGCTAGAGTCACAATCTTACGGAGTCTGAGCTTTCTGCGACGGATAGTTCATTTAGCCGGTCGGTACAACAAGGCTCTCTTTTCTCAGGAGATCTGTTTTTTTTTTTATCCACCTTTCCTTCTGAACAGAAAGGCTATCACCAAACTACCAGGATGTGGCGCCAAGTGTTTACTCTGGAAATTAAATTGACGGTTAAAATTTTATGGACTGCAAAAAGCGCGATGACGTGTTCCCGCATGTCATCGCAGAAGCCTTGTAAAAGAACATTTTATGTGGATGCGCCCTATTTTTGTGGCTGGGTTTATTGTCACGAGGTTGAACTGCGCATGTACTATCCTACACTAAGTCTTTATTTATATTTGTTTTTTTTTTTTTTTCTGAAAAAAAAAATATTTTTAAAGTCTTCAAAGATAAAGAGCTGAGTTGGAAAAGCGTACACATAACTAATTTTTTTTTTAAATTCACGAGTTCTCACGAGTTAGTCTTTTTTTTTTTTTTTGCTTTAATAATTTTATTGCGTTACTCATCCGCCGTGACTTGATAGCAACCAGCAACTCAGCACAAAGTTTTAGTGTTTTTTACAATTCAGGGGTGGTTAGCGTCGGGCACTACACCTAAAAATGAAAAATATTTTTGTGATTATTATCCTTTAATTTGTAAGTTTAACTAGAAAACTGCCATTCGAGGCTTCTGAGATTTTGAACACCAATATATTTAGTAGCGTTAATTGGTAATGCCCCTCAATAAATTAAGGATAGAAGCCTGAAATAAGTTCCCTCCGCATGTATAACAATTCTGAGTTTGTTTTTTGTTGAGCAGAAATGGAAAACATTTTTTTTGCCGTGGTATTTTTGTTTACTACTAGGAAACTTTTTGCACAACGATGACCAGTTCAGTTTTGTAAAAGTCGCCAAAAAAGGCATTTTACCTTCAACGTAGTGTATAGAAGCCCGGTATGCAATTGGTGGGCATTTTCAGCCCTACTATAAATATTCATTAATAACACACAAAATGCTATTCTTTTCTATAATTGATGGCCGATTTACCTATATTTACCGATTAAGCATCTGGTACAATCCGCAATAAAGTTCACATTAAAAATTCTATCGGCATTATTGTGGAATTCCAAAATAGAGAAAACATTATTACAGGTCGTTTTCTATTATATCGCCTTGAGAAGACAACCACTGCGATCAACTGAGGAAGCCAATCAGTGAACAAACCAAAGGGTCAAAATAACTGTAAAAAGAGGCTTGTGCGTTGTCTGCTGATCTCATTAGTTTCATTTTCAAGGTCCTTTCGTGGGAAATTATGAAAATTGCTTCGATTCTGGAGAATACAGAAATGAGTACAAGAAAAAGTGACGCCATCATTTGTTTTTGTTAACATTTAGCAAAGAAGAAATGCAGAGCCCCTTATCTAATGAATATATAGGATCTCCTAAGTCACCAAACTCGATCTAAAATTGACCGTAAATATCAAGGCCTGCATGTAGGAATATAAACTTTTCGTCAAAGGTGTATTTCACGGGTCGGTTTTTTCTTGTAAAATTACAAAGCGTAGCCCCGTTTCTGTAAAAATAGGGCCAAAACACTTGCTAGGGTAAGCGGTGAACGGCAACGCATTCGACCGAGTCGAGTTCCAGGACACGTATGATGTGCGTGTTCATAGATGGCGTCGGGAGCAGCATAGGAAGGTGCAGCCCACCAGCGAAAGAAAGCAAACGACACGCAGTTGAAATCCGTTGGCCGCAAAAGCGACGTCGTGATGCAAACGCGTTTTTTTTTTTTTTTTTTTGCTTTAAGTTTTGCTTTTATTGTCTGCATTTACTTTTATTAAATCACGGTGGTCGCGAGTTGTCTCGATAAGGAGGTAGCGCCATCTATCGATTCGAGCGCCAAGCCCGCCCCGTCACTCGACTTGGTTGCCTGCGTCGCCGCCCGCCGTTCACCCTGGGAAGTCTCTTGGCCCGATTTTTTGCAGAAAGGGAGCTACACTTTGTAATTTTACAAGACAAAACCGTCCTGTGAAAAACACCTTTGTCGAAAAGTTTAGATTGCTACGGGTAGGCGTTAATGTTTATGGTCCATTTTAGGTCTAGACTCGTGACTTGGAAAGCCGTAATTTTACCTGCATTAGATGACATCCTAAAGCATTTTCTCTAAAAGTTCTTTAAAGCGTTCTCAATAAAAGAAAACTATAGCTGGGCGCGTATTTAAGTGTCGGAATCTTTTCAAAAGTATCTCCCACCAGCTGCCCTGCTCCTCATGGCCAAAAGACAAACGTCAATTAGGAATGAATACATTAAAGCTGCATCAGACGACACCCCAAATTATTTTATCTGAATGTGCTTTACGCTAAACGTCACCCAGCTAAAGTTGCAGTCAGACGCTTTATAACACCAGTGGCATTTACCACTGGTGTTGACTGTATCAAGGCTGCCCACAAGCAGTTTGAACCGAAACCTAAAACTTTATTTCAAAATGTTAAACACCATTTGAGGCAATACAAGTTAGTCACGTTTATTCCTCTAGGACTTTTTAAAAAGTCTCAATTTAGAATGCTAACATACGTTGTGTCTGTCAACCGCCAAGGTATACTGACTTATAGCCTGCTTACGAACAGCCATATAAGGATTAAAAATAGTGGTAACCTTCCGTACGTAAACTTTGAGCATTATCTATGCCTAAGTTTCATGCTCCTATAAATGCAAGCATAAAGTCAAACAAGAATGAAAGCTCAAGCGAGATGGTGTTAACATAACTGTACACCGTTTTATCTTAAATCCGAACGGTCCCAAAGTAACGAGCCAATAAGGTCAGTCATGCTGTTCAGAATGCGATAGATTGCGGTATTTTTGTCGTCATATACATGCACTTTTTAGAGCCAACCGATTCAATCAAGCGCGAAGAAAGCTTCTTCACATCGCGTCTTTCGTCTGCGTTTTTACTTGCGTTGCAACAGTTTTTTGTTCCCTTTCAGCGTATGGTGAGACGTTGTATAAAACTAAGACATGCAAAAGGATATACACACACCATCCCTAAGAAAATGATAGCTTGAATCCCAAGCCAACGCACCGCTAGAAACCGTTAATTGTTTCTAACAGTGGACAACGCCGCCGTTGAAATTGTCCAAACCCAGAAACACGTTTACGCACTCCAACTTAAAAGCACAAAAATGCTCCTGCAAAGTTACCAATTTGTTATGCAAAGCTCTTGTATTTCTAGGGACGGAGTACGTATGCGCTCTTTATCCGGATGACGGACCATGCAGGGCACGCGTGCCACAGTTTTATTTCAATTTGACAACAAAGACATGCGAGTGGTTCATCTATGGCGGCTGCGAAGGTAATGCTAACGATTTCGCTGACGAGGACGAATGCCTAAAAAAATGCAAAGGTAAGTTTTAACATCGCAGTCAAGCAGATATTCTGTTATCATGATATCATCGCGGAGGGAACCTCTTATCATCGCGAACGCTATATCTTATAACAATATTCACTGTGACAGCTCTTCCGAAAAACGTTACCTGTTCATTTGAAATTACACATGCGCTTTCCGTTAGACTAGCATGTAGCAGCGCTTTATTATATTCTTTCAATTCTGAGAGTAAAAAAAAAAAAAACGGTAAAACCCTTTACAAAATTTTTTCTGCGCGGGCACCGCCATCTGGAATCACGGAACTTCCGGTGCGCGTGAAAACATCATCTTGCTCTCTTCTCATCCACTGGTAGAAGCTTCCCGTTTTAATCGCGACTGTCTATTATTCTTGTTTTACTTTCTTTATATTATTTTACTTGATCCGGTATCCAGGAACAAGGCAACACAGGGACGAGCTTCGGCACCCCGAATAATAAACAAAGTAGCTTACCGAAACCAAACCACCGGAGCAAGCCCGTTAACATTACGAGTCAATCATTTTCGTGGCGGATTTAAGTGAAAGACGTGAAGATCACGTTTCTTCGTAAGATTTGTCGGCTGCAACGCTGGGACTAGAGTGACAGGAACCCCCTTGTTTTGAAAGCCACCGACGTCACGCAGGCGTCGCGTTGCGATTGGTTACCACTTCGCGGTTAGCAAAAGCGGTTGGGAGAAATCGGTCCCGAAGCGGTTAACAAAAACGCGCCCCAACCGCACGATCCCAGCCGTCAAGACGGCACAACTAAAAACGAGGTACTTCGTTCCCATGACACCCGGAGGCTCGCTCTCTGCATTCTGAGAGTCTGCTTTGACTTGAGCAGATGCGGCCTTGAACACCGCGCCAGAGATGTCTTCGCTCCAACGGGCTCTTAGAAATATTATTACCGCTGCTGAGGTGCAAAACCATAATAAATGACGAAACAGTGTCTAAGCAACACGTGTAGAGCAAGTACCGAGTTATGCATGAGGTGGCACTTCCAGAAAACAGCTTTAAACAATTAGCTGTGTGTATGGTTATTTTGCCAAACGTGTTTAAATGAAGTTGCCTTATAGGATGGGTGGTGCTCTTCGTTCGGGTATTACCTGGCAGGATGACCCTTAGCCGTTCAGTGCCTGGAGTAGGTGCTGCTCTTAGTTCAGGTGCTGCCTATTGCAGAGTTCTGTACGAAAACAAATTACGTCACACCATTGCCAAAGCGGTGAGTGGGAACGCGCTTTCCTGTCCTTTTTACCCCTCGTTCCGCACGCTCTTTCTACACCACCTGTTTCAGCTCTTCCCTGTCTTGCCCTTCAGTCCCTCTCCGCTCGGTGCGTTTTTTTTTTTTTTTTATTTTACACTATTTATTTTTGCTATTTCCGTCCAGGCGTTTTGGGCCATAGCTCAGCCATAATAAAGAAGAAAAAATACGTCCGTAGCTCAGTGAGCATCGCACTCGGCTTCACGCCGAAGACCGAGGTTCGATTCCTCGCGCCGGTTGCAGTTTTCTGCCAAGATCATTTAGTGATAACGGAATGACTGACTTACATATTTCGGGCTTACTCTACTTTTGAAGTCGGTTGGGCCTATAAAGCTACCGCACTTAAACAAGCAGAAGCATGCCTCTCATAGGAACATAGGAAACTGGACTAGAGACAGGCTGCTGTTAGCTGCATATCAAGGAGCCATCTGGCGGCGTCGCTCTCAAACGAGGAGAGGGGGACCTTGCTTGACAGCTGCGACGCGCACTGCCCATACCTATGAATATTTGGGACCGTGGATAAAGTGCTGATACAGTGCAAAGTAAGCACTTTGTCTATGGCGCTGAGTTTCCACCGCGGTATACGTATGAATGAGCAGGTCTTTACAGTGTGATGTGAATCACAAACATGAAAATAAACGCAATGTACATTGTATATTTTATCGACATAGAAGCTAAATTCAAGTAATACATAAGGAGAAACTATACCAAAAAGTGCGGGTATTTACATCAACTTATGTTAATACAAATGCGCAGGAGACTATTATCGCACGTTGAAGCCCATACGGGGTTCGGCTTTCAATGAAACACTTGTACATTTCATGCATAAAATACGTGTCTTTCTTGCTGGTCGATATTACACTAACAGTATATATCTTGTATGTTTTATTTGACTTTGTTTCAGGACGCAAAGTTCCGAGCATATGCTCTGTCCCGTACGAAGATGAGAAATGCCGATATACGGATGATAAACCAAAGAAACGTTATTGTTATAATGGGGCTTCTAACGAATGTATACTGGTCGATCCAAATAGATGCCCGAAGACTCAGAACATATTTTGGAACAAAAAAGACTGCCAGAGTCGCTGCAAAAGTAAGACAATGCCACATCAGCGTTTCACAGGCATCCGCGTGTGACCCTGCTTTTGTAGAAATTGTTAGAAGAATTGGAATGTGCCATAAACGTTATACGTTGTTAGGTGGTTTGACTAGACAGTTGAAATTAAACTGGCTAAAATGCATGATAGTCGCAAAGAAATCGGAACAAAATTGTTCAAGCAACGCGATCAAAAGCAACGCTCTTGGCTGCGCACATCGCAAATATTGGCAACCAGATCGAACATGGGGCGACTCGTCCAGCTTGTTTCCCTTCCAGCTTGGTGCTGCGCCCAAAGCAAGGCCTCTGCTCTGAATTTTTACGTGATCTACGTCGATCGAGCGCTGTGGGCTTTATATTGGACACAAGCGTTGCATCAGGGTTCGGCTGGGAATGATACCTCGGGGATTCAGTTGTGGAACACGAGTTTCAGTCCTACGCTGTCGCAGGGCTGGGTTACGTCAGCTGAACACTGCATCACAAACAAAAATAAAACAAAAGCAAATCTATATTCTTGGCCCCCGCCCCCCCCCCCCCCCCCCTTCCCCCAATCCTCCCCACTGAAGCTAAAGTGGTCCTCGACCCAAAAGTAATTTGCTTTTTTGCCAAAAGAAGTTAATAACTACGACTTTACTTTCTTTTAAACCAATACCTAACAAGGGGCGTAGCATTAAACCTTCGTGCCGCATCTCTGGTGGAGTCGAAACCCTGAGCAAACTATAGTACTAATACCATTGATACCCAGATTACCGCCTTATGCAGTTTACACAACTCAGTATTTGAATGTGCCCCACTAGAGCAAAACTATCTATCATTTCAAAACAGCTTTGAAGTCTCTTTCTTGTCTACCGTTCTTTCTACCTGGTAGAAAGAAATTCGAATATCCCAATGTAACACGAAAATATTTATATGGTTCTACGCTGTTAAATCTCCCACCTGTTTTTTTTTTTGTTTTTTTTTTTTTTTTTACTGCGTCATACGTGTATTGATATTAGTTTTATGGTTTATTATTTGAGCGGATGGTTCTCCCTGCATTGTCCTTGTGCTCGGTGGATGTGTAAATGTAATGCCTGTATTTTTTTATTCTATTTCAAATTTTGCTGCTTTATGTATGGTGTACACATAAAACTAGAGTATGAAATTGAACAAAAAGGAGAACAACGTGTCTGCTGATGATTCATCACTTCCGGTGTGGATGTGATGGCTTCGTCAGGAGACATATGTTAATCTCGTTTCGCTACATCTCGCGGAGATATCGTATTTCTGCATCTATGTCCAAATATATTTTTGCTGTTTACCACACGTTCTTTATGGTGTTCACACATTGGCGCTTGTTTGATTTATTCACATGTCATGGCAAATCACTTTCACAGCCAAGGAGAAGAGAACTTTCAAAGGTATTTATCAATCATTTAATAAAATTTCACGGTAGCCATCGGCGGCAGCCCGTGGGCCCAGGAAAGAAAACCCCTATTATCAAACCCCCTTCAGTGTACCCCTGCTTGTTTAGGCTACGGTCACTGAGAGTAAAGAAACGCGTGGTGTGGCTTTTTTTAGGCCTACTCTTCGCGCGTCGTGATTTGTTCCACGTTCTTATCGCATAATAATACATCTCGATGGCTGCGGTGCGATTGTAAGATGCAAAGGGACTTACCACATTCTCGTTTTTTAAGCTGTCAGTTACTATATAAATTAAAGGTGGAGATATAGCATTAGGAAAGCAAAAATGTGAACAAATAATGTCCGCGACAATTAAGCGCGTTATTATTTGAAATATAATCAAATTATATGCGACCGCAGCCTTAGCATTTCATGTTACAGCCCAACTTGACAAACTCGTGAAAGCTGATACCCTGCCAAATGAATAAGTACACCGAAGCGAAACACGTGACAACGTAAAATGAAAGTTCGGCTCCCCTCCCCCCTTCCCCCTCTTTTTGTATGTGTGTGGGTGGGGGAGAGGGGGATAGCTGTCACGTGATTTGAATTGCCGCCCTGGCTCGCTCACGGAGGGCATCAATTTTGCCGTTGCCGAGGCATGCTGACACGGAGTGCAATTGCAATTTTTGTTTTGTGTAGTTATAAACGAGTTTCTTTTTTTATCAACTTTTAGACAAAAATTATTTGACATTTAAATTATATCACAATCGTCATTCATTCCCTTACCATCCTCTGTAAATTGCAGTGAATTTCTCTCTGTGTGCTCTGAGAAAAAGGTAACGCTAGGCTATGTTTATCATAAAGTCTGTTTAAGCTTGGTATTATGTGTCATTCATCCACCAACTGAGCTTCATTTTTTAATATACCTTCCAAGTAATATTTGAACATATGGCTTAAGCGAGGGCATATGTATTGCGTTATATACATACATTTTGCTTCATTTGCTTAAAAAGCAAACCGGATCAGTTAATCTGGCTGGACTAACCATTTTATATTATAATACAAAAAAAACTTGATACACTGTTTTTTTACTTGACTGAAATTCTGCAGTAGCATTTGTCGCCCATAGCCGAAGCCGGTGTGATAATAATAAAAGTTAGATTTGACCATTTTTACTACTTGGAAAAATTCAATTGCTACAACAATACGAGTTAGTTTGTGGTAACCGGTACCGCTCGATACGTCGCGGGTTTGTAATCGCAAACCTGTCATTCCTGTAACGAGCTTTGACAATTTACGCTATATTTTTGTTCTGCGTGGCTAAGAAACGGTCGAACAAGTCTGAAGGGGGCTTCAGCATATACGTTTTTTTACTAATTACCTTTCATCTGAAATATAATCATTTGTTTATGATTAAATTAGTCACTGATTATTTTTGCGCTATTGTGTTTTAATTTGCAGTCCTTAAATCAAAACGCTGGGATTGAAGTGCGTACTCCATGAAGATCTAGGAGAGTAAGCGACACGGCACCGAAGACTCCAAATGCAGGAATAAATAAACATGTTCTAAACAAGTCCCACAAATAAGAAATGTTTGTTCGCTGTCATCTACAGCCTCCCAATTTTGATTTTCATGTGCGCTGGCACCGATTGTTCGCATCGTCAGCGTTTTATTTATTATTTATAAATACTACATTCTCCAACTTGGATGCATGGTAGGAGTTCAAACACTTCAAATATACAAAGACTGCCGAATGGCCTACAGTGCCTTAAAATGGACAGCAATGGGCTCACATATTAATACAATGGAAGGCATAAATACAAAGATCAACCGCGTTAAATTAATAAATTAAGGCAACAAAGACAGTGCACCAGAAAGGAAAAATATAGGGCCTAAAGATCACAGACACAGCCCGCTAACACAATACACAATATTTACATTGGCATAAAGCTGCTAAAGGAGCTACCTTTTTTAATTCAATAATATACCTTTTTTATCTTAAAGTGGTTCTCCGGCGTTGTTTTTTGTTCATAGCCCCCCATCGGCCTAAAAAGTTATTAAAAGCACCAACACACACTTCTTAAATAGTAACCCGAATATTGGGCCAAAATAGTTTTTTCCCGTGAAGTTATTGAATTTAAAAGTTTGATCATCATCGTGTTTTTCATAGAGTCGTAACACGCAAACAATAAAAACGTACCCTCAGCAGAGTGCAGGGGTTCACTCCTTGGAATCTAGACTCTGTTCCCAACTGATTATTAGCAGTTTCATGGTTTCAAATGAAGGCTGTCGAAGCTTGCATCAGCACCTGCGCAAGTAGCACGAAACAAATGCTCGGCATAGTCCATTTTATGACTGCCCGCTCGACCTACAAGCCTACCTTCCGCTGTCGTCACGGTACTGAAAAGCACGAGTATATTTGAACGTTGCTTTTGTCATCATTTTCACTTGCCTATTTCATGACAACCATTCTGAATTTTGATATACAAAATATCACACCGGAAAGAATAAAGGTCGGTGATTCCGAGAATAGTTAGTTCCGGTAGCTCGAAAAATCGCCAGGGTACCCTTTTGAAACTGGGTTTAATTTCTTCAATTTAATCTTCTATGAAGTCTTATACTAGACACTTCTGTATATCACCAACATAATGGGAAGAAAAAAATCAAGACCTCGCGACGTAAAGAAAGTTACTGTATGTAGAGCGTTGTAAACAGGCAAATAGCGTCTTTCTAATCAACTAAAAAATGTATTGTTGTTTAGCATCTTCTTTCCTTCGCATACTTGCTTGGTGTTGATATAATTTATTGTTAACAACGGCACTATTTAAATCTTGCAAAGCTGGATTGGCTCCTCATGTTTGTTCTTTTCTTTTCTTGCGTCTATGCTCATTTCTAACTTTCGTCAAGGTTTTATTTCAAAGTATCTTGTTTCAGTACTATTTTTCTTTAGAAGAATAAGAAATCGTCCTTTGTGGCCCATAAATTCTTGCCCAAACACACAAGTAGTCATCATTCATATTTTCACAGGCGGTTCTGTTCACAGAAATCGAAATGCCGGCAAAATGACCATGCTTCATTTCCTTGATCACATTATATCTACTCGTACCTGCAAAAATAAATCTTCTGGACAAAAACCACAACAGACAGTTAAGCATCACAATATCTCTAAGCACTTCACGTTCAAAACGTCAAAATCTCCCAAAAGCCAGTTGTAGTGTCGTATTCCCATTAAGGACCGTCTCAGCTGTGAGGTCACTAATTAACTGACACCAAGCGGTTGAGGAAGCTGAGCCTACACTTTATTTTGAGTGATGTTTCTCGTTGGAAATTATGTTCCCGACACGTTTTTTTTTTTTATAGTATTTAGCTATGTCACTAAACGTCAGTGAAAGCGGACAAGTCGCGCTCAGTACGAAGGCATATCTATTCCTGTGATTCAAAAACAACATAAAAGAACTTGCGGCCACAGAATGAAAGTCAAAGTGTGATATAGGCAAATTAAAATGCCCCCTGGGTCACTTAAACTAAAGCTGCAAAGTTTCAGTATGAAGGTGGATAAACAAATATTGAAATCACTTGTTACGCTTGAAACTCAAATATTCCGATACAAACCTGTTACACATTTACAGTTGGCAATAAAAACAAATAAACACAAGTGATCGACAGCTGGCACGGTGAATTCGCCGCTATGTTCTCACGAAACCGAATACACCGAGAGCTAGGGTGGTTGAATAGTTCCCACCTTTTCATCTTGGGAGTGCTTCGGCACACAGTTATGTTTGGAAGAAGCTACTTATTTTCTACATCGATACTGTCGTCTATCAACATTACCAGTTCAGCGTATTAAAAAGCATGAATGACTGTAAAAACACGTTGCTCCTTTAAATGACGAAGCAAGAAAAAAACTTATGCACAGACATATACGGCCGGCGATAGCATGAACCAGAAAGGCGGTCTTCAGCAAGTGCGCTATGAAATAACAAAAGAACACCTTGTATACGTTCCTCATCTTCATCAAATACCTAGATTTCTAGTTCATTCTACTACAAAGACAGAGGTGGCGGAAGGCTCGGGACATTCTGACGACAAGTGTTCCGCTGGCGCTCGTGGCGAGGATAGAAGAACTAGGTTATAAATAACAGGTTTCAGTTGAACCTGACAAGGATACACTCGTCCGGGGTCGTAACACATTGCCGCATCGCCCAATGTGTCAAGCGATGAAGCACAAAAACGACACTTTTAAGAAGTACATTGGACTTACATTGAAAGTCACGGATATTAGGACCGGTTGTTGCAATGACGAACACGGCAGCATTTCTTTTGCCATGATTAAGAACTGCTACCCCGTGGGAAACACCGGGCGCAAAAAAGACTCGGAGCCATCGAAAGCGACTCCCTATTCATTTGCAGCTAAACTTTCGCAAACTCTGCAGGCCGCCGTCCAGTTCACCGTGGCCTATCAAAAAAGGCCAAAGCAACGCCACCATCAACCAGTTGTGTTAATAGTTGGCGATTTAGGTTCAAGAAATCTGCAAATATTGAGTGATGCCAGTAAATGAACTACAGCAAAGCTTGCTGCTTGTCGACCAGGGCCAGTCCAATAAGCGGAAAACTTGGCGCTTATAATGATGCAAATAATGTTGACACTTATAATGAAAATGATGTATGTTGGCCCTTAAAATAATGCGATTTGGAAGTTTGTGTTTGTCCTTTGTCCCTCTTTTTTCCCTTCTCCATGAATTATCATCATCATTCTCGTCGAGCACGAAAGCACCTTTTTATTAATTGCATCGTTAAATTAGCCTTAATATGCAGGCCGTTCAGATTTGTTGATGCTAGACTGGTGGCAGTGATAACACCCGTTTGCTCTACTGAATTCTAACTCCTGGTTAGCTTAGTCGGTAGAGCGCTCCACTGGAAATTGAGAAGTTTCTAGTTCGCTACCAGGACCAGGCGGATATTTTCGGTTGCACACAAGTCACCTAGCTGTGCTATGAGAATTGTGTTTGTCCTATGTTCCCCTTTTTCCCCTACTCCAGGTGTTATTATTGCCATTCTCGACCAGCTCGCTTGCACCTTTGGATTAATTGCATCATTATAATAACTTTAAGATGCAGGCCGTTGCATTTGTTGATGTTAGACTGGTGGCAGCTGATAAAACCCGTTTTCCCTACTCACGTCTAACTCCTGGTTAGATCAGTTGGTAGAGCGCTCCACTGGGAATGGAGAGTCCGTGGTTTGACACCAGGACCAGGCGGATTTTTTGGTCGCGGACCAGTCACCTAGCTGTTTTTGGAAATTTGTGTTTGTCCCTTGTCCCCTTTTTTCCCTTCTCCAAGAAATATTACCTTCAAACTTGGAAGCAACGACTTTCATCTGTGTGATCCCGTTTCTTGTGTTCGGTGTGGAAGGGCTCACGCCGACCTTTGGTGTGGAAGGGCTCACGCCCACCAGCTGTCTCTGTACCACCCTCTGTGGTCACCGTAATCCCCGTTTCTTCACATACTAAAGAGAGGAAGGTTGTGAGCACCAAGGCGAAGAAAGGCTTGCGACATTCTGAAGACAAATGTTTAACTCGCGCTTGTCTCGAGAAGTAGGGTATGAGAGATAGGCATCAGCTGGAGCCTGACAGCAGCTCAGCCATTTATATCCATCACTTCCAAAGTGGTGCAAAACAACTCGTTCTTTCACTGAGATGTATGGATTGCCCTTTGTTGGGGTGGTGTAGGACTCAGAAAGTTGCAAGTTTATTTATTCATTTTTATTAGCTGCTCTTTAAATTCATGGGCAAGGACCAAGAGCCCAATTGGGTTAGATGCTCTCTCATTTTTGTTTTACTCACGTCATGTTCGAAAACAGGGTCTCCAGACACACAACTGTGTAAAAGATTTTCTGAAATAAACATTCATAGATCGAGTGAAATAACTATATTTACTTCTAAATAAATCTGTGCACCGCTTGAGTCTTTCACCACCCGGATTTCTTAAAAGAATACCAACTTCCGTTGCGCTTTATTTCCACTATCCAGAATTGTTTTGAACTTTTGAACGCAATCTTATATTCGGGATCCCAAACAACGACCTCCTTTAAAATATCACTATGAACAGATTGTCATCTGCTCGTTCCTGCAAAATTGAATCTCGTAGCGGTGTCTTTTTTTTAAACTTTTGTTGGCCTTTATGTTGCGTTAGATTTTAGTTCGCTTAAAACAAACCTTCCCATAAACCGAAACATGAATTGAACCAATTTTTTTGGTGTTAGTATATTAATATACGGGGTGTTAATAATGAAAGAGCTTGCTGTAAAATGTTCCGCACAAATCAGCACCTTTAGCTAGCGACCTGGAAATTTCACTAAAAGTTCTTTCAATATTGCATTTCCTTTCTATTACTCACAAGAAGGAAAATTGTTTTCTTCCTTCTTTTACATACGCCTGGATACAAAACCGAGACTTCTGTAGAGTATGATGATTCTGGCTGTGTTACAGCGGCCCGCAGCTGGTCAATGGAAACTCCAGCTACCAGGGGTCAGGCCATCAAGAATCGTGTGAGACGATTGGACCGCTAAACACTAGGAGCAGCGTAGTGGCCCCAGCATCATGCGACTACGAGAATCGTCCACGAAGCTCTAAATTCCACTTATTTCCTACATAAAATGTGCCTGCCGGACACACTATTAATTCTTGAGAGGTCCTGAAGAACTCTCAGGCTTTTCTGATCGGTCTGAGGGGCGTTCAACATAGTTATCTGCGAGTTTCACAATGTTTGTTACGATCACTGGCAGAAAGCCTCTTGACATTCCGAATCATTCTAAAGCTTTTCTGGGAGTTGTCAAGAGCTTCCTCAAGGTAGAGCACAATACCCTTTAGGAGGAACGTATTGGCAATCCCGCTTACCATTTTCTGTCGGCTGGGCGGGCCGAACAATCGTTCAGTGTGGGCCTTCCTTCCACCGAAAAAGCTCAATCCTCTCCAGTGACTCCTGCGACCTGAGTTTGCTACTACCTGAGGATGTATCTTAGTGATCAATTTCGCATGCCTTTTGGTCCGTCAGTCTCAAAATTTCTTCCAGCAAAAAAATAAAACAAGCTGAGGATGCCATCGTGATGACACCAGGTACTCCTCTTTACCGTGTTCAGGATTCGCTTAGAACTAGGGGTGGGCAGTTAATCGAATAACTTTCTGATTATACCATTATCATTGTAATTGCGATTATTTTTAACCCATCAACTGTTATTTAGCGATTAGATCTGAAACTTGCGATGTGCACAGAAACAATGGCCATTGAGTTTCAATAGCCCGAAGTATAAAAGCAACGTTTCTCTGTTTTTTTTTTTTGTTTTTTTTTTTTGTTGTGCTTGTTTTTTTGAGGGCACCGCATCAACCCAGGTAACTGCAAAAAGAAAAAGGTGACGAGAACATGTAAAGAAAACAGATAGCAGCTAGGCGACTGCTCCCTTCTCACGAGCATATACCGACTTTGGCTTCAGAATCTCAAAGGAGGCGTCAACTTTTCACCGAAGTCGCCGGGCCTTGTACACAGATTATTTGTACCCGTTCTTAGGCACAAGACGTTTCACAGTAAGCCGCAGACTCCAACAATCAGCCATCCAGACGTCGAAATCTATTCTCCATTCACCCTTCAACTGACACTACAGTGGGAGCTACGTGCCCGCTGGACCAATCAGCTGCATCCCTGGCAATGTTTACTTTTGTGTATTACACGTATAAATAAAGGTGATTAACTGTCACATTCCTCAATACAGAAATCGTTATATTAATATTAATATATCATGAAAAAGATACGTCATGTTTTATCATAATAAACGACCTTGGAACGAAAAAAATCTTTGTACGCATATAATGTGAATCTGTAGACAGTCTATGTCACGTAAACTTTCAACTTTAAAGCATGTATAAGTTTGCAGGATGTAGTCCAGAAAAGTTCGTAGTTACTTTTTGAAGTTAATAAAAGAGCGCCAAGAACGATACTGGATGAAGAAAGACACTGACGCAGCGCTGTTTCTATGTCTTCCTTCAAAAAACTTTGTCTTTCTTTATCCGGTATCCCGTACTTTGTGCTGTTTTAATGCTCAGGTATGTACCAACTCGCCCCTGCTTCAACTTTATTTTTTTTTTAAGTCAATACGCTTCCGAATTCTGCTAACATATTATGAAAACAAACTGCCATGCTTTAATTTGTACTGGTTTTTCGACACTTATAAGACCTCAAATGTTTATCGTTGCACAAAACTCGCCGTGCGCATGACGCACAAACCAAGTGCCATCGAGTCGCTTCTTATTTCAGTGTTACTTTAAAAAAAAGACCTTTGAGTTATGGAAGCATGGTATAAAGCCTTTGTTTTCGGTTTCATACTTTATGGTCGCTTTTTTTTTTTACAATGCCACAAGACTAAATTTACTCGCAAAACGTTCTGAATCCGCTACCAGCAAGTAGAACGTCACCTTTTGATCGAGATCTTAAGTTGAATGTATAATGAGGGCCCAAAAACATTTGTCTTAACCACCCGTAACACCCCTGGTAGCGCATCTTATTTGAGTCACAAAGTGCAGTACGCTCGTTCCTTTCGTCAATAATAGGGAGCCTCCCAAGTTCATTAACTCTGCTGAAACATGTAGTCAAAGTATCTTGGCATGACTCCTAAAACCCCAAACGTTGGGTGGGTTCGAATCCCGGCCGAGGTGGCCGCAATACGACGGAGGCTTATTGCGGAGGGGGCGCCGTATAACCGAGCTTTCGGTTGCACGTCGAAAGATCCCCAGGTGGTCCAAATTAATCCTCAGTCTTCCGCTGGGGTGTGCCAGATGCCCGTCGTTGGTTTGGCACGTAAAACCCCAGAATTTGACTTTTTGTCCAAACGTTGGGTATTACGGTTATTGAGATTATTCCTTCGGCAAAACTATTAAAAAAAGTCGACTTCTGCATTGAAAAAGTTAGAAGTTTACTAGATTTTTGTAACAACGACATTAACACAAGCTTTAATATACAATAATCAGCGTCGTCGTGCTTTCTCAGTTTCACTTTAACTCAAAAAAGTATTTTTTCTTCGCAAAACTTCAAATTACGATTTTCATATAGTTAGTACAATAACGATGCTGATGAGCAAGTTTAAGCTATTCACCTGTAATACTATGATGAACAGGATGGCGGAAAATATAATAGCTCGCGCTCAATTTTATGCCTCGTTAGGCAAACCCAGAAAAATATTAAAAGTGTATGTGTGCAAAGAGACATACCTAGGGTTGGAAAAAAAGTGATACAAACAGACAAAGAGTCATGTTGGCAGGTTGTGATTTTACAGCGAATGTGTTTATGCCTCGGGTTCCGTGGATTTTTTGTGTGCAGTGACTAAAACCTCTACGCTTGAACCTCCGCATGCGCCGCACGTGCACGTCTTCCTTGTATGAAAGATTCGAAGTAAATATCCAAAATAAAGTGTTCACGAACGCGCGTGCGAGATGCCCTTTGTTTTAGGCTTTTACTTTAGAACAGTTACTGCTGCAGACGCTGGCACGTGCGACGCGTGGAACACCATTCCCTGCATTCTCCTTAATTCTTGGGTAATTTAGAAATAGGTCTATTTAGTAGATTAGTTATCAATAGGCACCATTTTCAAGATAACTAGACTCTCAGGTACACAATTAAGGTTCCTCAAAAATTTGCCGCTGTGCGACCCGCTTCGTCCATGTCTACTCTCTCACTGCACTCCCTCTCTTTGTCGTTGTTCGCAGGGCTTGTGTGCCTCGCTTCCTTTCTTTCCGCTTTCCCGGGGTGGCGGTCCCGTCGAGCGTGTCTACTTTCCGCCGGGTGGCGGTCCCGTTGCACTGGTCTATTTTCCTCCAGCTCTTCGGGGTAGGTCTCTGTCGTGTGCAAAACAGCTTCGCTGGTCATCAACCTTCGCAGTGTGGAGGAGGATGACCAGCGAACTCGAACCCCGATTTATCACCCTAATCGCCTCTACCTCGTCGATTTGCCAGCACCAACTTATATAAATACTCCCATCTAAACCTTCTAATTAACGAATGAAACTCCTTGCCAAGCAACATAAAAATCATAGAGGATCATCAGGATTTTTGTTTATTTATTGATTTTTTTTTTACTGAAAGAAAGCCTTTTGGCGATAATGGTTATTTAGCTAGAGCTACTTTGAATCGAGCAAACGACTTCTTGTATCATATTTTCAGTTTTCATTAGAGTGTCGTGCCTACCTCTTTTTTTTCTTGCTTGTTGTGTTCATGAAAATAAATTCCATCTAATGTAATGCCCAAAAGAGCCCTGAGCGTAAATGAATAAATGAAATAAATAAATAAATAAAGGCCGTGTGGAATGCCGCTATCTAGCCCGGCCGCGGCGGACCATCGCCCACTGCACACCGCCTTTTTTTTGCGTTTTACTTGATTTATGAAAGGCGTTGGCCTTTCACGGGTTCGAATCCCGGCGGAGTTGTTTGCAATCTTACAGAGGCTTAGGCGGAGAAGGCGACGTGTAACCGAGATTTCGGTTGCACGTCAATTGGCCTGGCACGTAAAACCCCCTGATTTGATTGGTGTTAATTTATCTGGCTTCTGAAGGCACAAAATGAATTCCTCTAAGCAGGGGCGGCTCTAGCTACATTCCACCACGTTGAACGTGGAACGATATTTCTGGAAAGTCGTACTCGTTATATGTTGCGTGTTAAAGCTACTAGGGTTCATACCCCTTCGAATAACAACAGAACGCCCTCAACAGCGAACTCGACACTTCGCTCAATTCTCCCTCCGGACAATTGTTCCAAAATATTTGTTGCCCAATAGTAAAAAAATAATCCAAAAAAGAAGAGAAAAAAAAAAAAAACAGCTGCGAGAAAGCGGTTGCATAGATATTCCTGTCTGTTTTCCAGTTACAGAAATTTTACAGGTTTTTCGAACATTCAAAGCACTAAAAGAGCGGTTTCTTTTGTGTTTCGTTTATTTTGTTCGCGTGTATTTCTTGTCGTCAAACTTTTCCTTCCGTAATAAAGCTAAGAAACAATGAGTCCCCTCGACAGCGACCGCTCAAACGAAGACAAAATATTTTTGAAAAGAAATGTTTACGAGTTGATAACACTTGCGGGAAATAACGTTTGCAGTACACATGGCAACTTTAGCCGGCATGAGACGCTGGCTGGCAATTCTGGTACTGGCACTTTTTCAACGTGAGTCCCTAAATAATTTGAACCCATCCACCCTGCCAATTAAAACGGTTATGTGCGCCAAATTTCAAAGCATCCGGGAGAATGATTTTGGGTGTCTAATAATAATGTACATTTGTTGAATCAGTTCCAAGTCGATATCTTTTTCTTTTTTTGCTTTTAAAAGGTTTTTCTAGTAAGAGTTTGTCTTTCAGAAAACAATTAAATTATATTTGCATTGCTTTTAGGAATATCATCCGTACAATATAGAAATTTGTTATCCTCCGTCGTACAACTAATTCAATTTTAAACAGAGCCCAACTGCTCGGATTGCACCAGCATAACACACGGCGTTTTCGTTGGCAACAGCGGAAGCCCTGATGACGTAACATTAGGCAAGGAGAGCCATATTCCAGCTTTTTACTGCTGTCTCAGTAAAATAACTTCGTTTTAAGAAACACAAGATTTCCAAGATTAAGGGAATTTCAATTCTTCGAGGATAATCTTTCTACGGACCATCAACCATGTTGATGAAAACCGGGAATAAGTCAACGCCCGTGACTTTGACGTTAAGATGACATATGGCCTCACGAAACAACCAGCCATTGATATTTGCGAAATTTGACGTTAAGTTTCGTATTGATGTTCATAATAGATTTGACGAATTTTGGGGCGTCATATAATAATCTAAGTATCACATATGACTATATTTAGGCCCTCTCTACGTGACCAGCGCAAAACCTTAGTAACTTCAGGATATCACCGGACAATCCCTCTAATATTATCTTACAATATTTTTACATTGTATAAGGTAATTGTTTTTCTTTTTATTTGTAGCTGCCGGAGTAGCAAGTCTATACAACCTTTTCTTACCTAAACTTTACGGTATCTTAACTCGCCTGAAAACACTGATAACCATTTTTTCGGTGTTGTTAATCCGAACAGCGAGTATTAATCTCGGCAGCGAGTTCAGCGTTAATTAACATTCGTGTTACGTTGTCGTCTCATTTATTCCTTCTCTGGAAACGCTGATCATTACTAACACACAAATTAACTTTTCCACAGCCTCGGCAAAGAGAAGCGAGGCCCTAGAATGTCAACGCAAAACACCATGATGCCGCTAAAAACATTCTATAGGAAGTATTCACTGGCGGCGATAGTTGTGTGCGCGACTGCTGAGCGCGTGCTGATGGAGAGCTTCCACGGTTCTTTTGCAACGTGTATTCCACACCATCAGGATTGCCGGTCTTAGCAGCCTATTAATGTGGGCTCGTTCTGAGCGTGAGCTCTAGACAGCACCCACAAATATGGCACCCAGTGAATACTCCTTATACCTGGTTCCAGCTGAAGCCCAGACCCGGCCGACGCAACGATGTATTGGAGAAATCAAGCAGTCCGAAAGCGAAATAATCTAGGACTTTTTTGTTTATGATTGATTTCGCGATGATAGTATACGTACAGAAACACGAAAAACACCATGATGGTGCCTTTTTGCCGCTGTCTGACTAGCCTCATCAGCTCTCATACCTCGGCGGCGTCTGGAGTTAAAATAAACCAAGGTATGATTTGTGCGTCGATTAAAATTTTACCCAATAAATCGCCACTTTTGAATCGATGAATTCATTTATTAACCGGTCTTTTTTATTTCTTTGCATAATACTGAAGAACTCAAACTTAATATTTGTTTGCCTTTCCCGCTTTCCCGAATTGTGATAAAAGCCGCAATATACGACTTAGATTATGAACCAATCTAGATGCGTAGTTTAGAACAGTCCAGAGGCACTCACACAAAAAATATTACTTCAGCTGCATGAAGTGAAAAGGTTCGTCGATATTTTCCGTCAAGAGCGACCTAACCATCTGCACTTGCCTGGAGTTGCAAATCTCGCCCCTACAGTTACTTTATTATAAAATTTGACCTAGTGTTTGCCCCTCATACACACTTTCTCATTCACGTCTGCGAGGTGAAAGCGTTTGATGTTTTACTCTCTTGCGGTTCGTCGAAATTGAGCGGACTAACTGGTTAAAAATATAATCCCGATTAAAGCACGACTCAATTAATCGGTGGGTTAATCGATCAGTTGTTCAGCCATAATATCACCATATGGGAGACGCTAAACAAACAAGGAAAACCTATAGATAAAAGTAAAAGTACAATACATTAAGGCGTGCAAGCATAAACGACCCCTGTCAGGAGTCTCTCTAGGCAAGCTATCAGTAAACAAATAAAAAATATATTAATGTATTCAAAAAATATACAAGAACATATAAGATCATCTAATAACTTATAGAACTGTATATACTTTTTATATAATTGATATCAGTCATAAACTGTTTAGTAAACAAATTATTTGTATATTTTATTTAATACGGAGGTCTTTAGCATTATGTGGCACTAGAGGCTATGAAAAGTAAGAAAATGTTTCACTTACAAATGACACTTATCGAATACTAATAAATATTTTTGAGCGAGGCTTACTATATGAATTTCTCCGAACTTTAGTTTGTTGTGAGTTTCCTCAATGTACGAAGCCTGTTGGCTATCATTTATTTCTAGAATATCCGATAAATATACCTACTTAGGCGAATATTTCAACATGCATAATAAGAAAATGAAAGTAAAACATACAGACAAAAAACAATCCCGTACACGTTCGTCGTCGTCTTTTTTTGATCTGAATTTATATTAAATCAAAGAAGTGTTATAAATGTGTCAAACGATTCACTTTGTGAATTCTTCCCACTTCCTCAGAGAAATACGACAAATTTATTTTAAGTGTCTCGAATGTTTCGACAAAGAATATTATACAGCACATTCTGAATATAGGAACAGCCCTACTGAAAAAAACCATTTGAAATTCAAACGGGTGGCAAACTGGTCGCCCGTTTGAATCAAACCTGTCGATCCGTTTGGATCAAACGTGATTATGGGATACGGGTACCCGTTTGGAAACGGTACCCGTTCGAAACGGTACCCGTTTGATACAGGTGCCCGTTTGATACGGGTGCCGTATGGTACGAGTACCCGTTCGACATGGCACGTGACCACACGTTTGAACGTGCCCTTCGAAATTGCAAATTATGCGCTAGCCCTAAATGGGTATCGTCTGGGAGGTTGGTTATCTTAAACATATTTAAGACGTCCCGAAACTCATAAACGTATTTATAACATGGAGAAAACACGTAGAACAAATGCACTCGCGTAGGTGCTTGTAAGTGGACAGGAAAACCGACACAAAAGATTGTTTTCAATTCTCCTCGAAGTTTATTACCTCTTCTGTAGACAAGTACAAACGTGCAAGCGATCTGTGAACACTATACAGGTTGACTTTCGGGGAAATTATTCTCCTGGCTGCCGCGCGAATAGGCGCTGCATAATTCTTTAGATAATTTAGAAGAGTACGCGTAGAAGAACGGTCAATCGTTGCCAACACGTAGGTTGCAGTGCACTTACCATAACAATAGCGGACTTGAAAGAGGTAATCCGTGATATTTGTCGACACGGTCAAAGCAGGACAACCACACAAACACAAACGAGAGGGAACGGCTCCTTGGAAGTTTCAACACGATGCGGCGCACAAGCTGTCATTTGCCAAACCCAACGAAACCGCGAGAATTTGCGACTTCATTGAAGAATCGCTCGTTGCCGACATACACGTGGGTCTTTTCGAACACTGATAGCTTTGGTGCACATCCAATACGTTGTCGAGACATCCCAATAAGACCGCAGGGTTAGGCGACAGATTGAAGCAGGTAGGACGAGCGAACTTCGAGCAGCAACTGACAACAAGCAGACAAAGAAAAAGCGGCTGCAAGGCGCGCCCTTCCGGATCTCGATGCTTATCAGCGTGTAGCTCGCGCGCTGCCGTGGGTCACGTGACAGGGGTGACAAGAGAGGAGGGAGGGGGCGAGGTCAAGGCTCTGGGACCACCGGGACAGCCCCTCTCCCTCTCCCCAGGCATTCCAGGGAGATGCGTTTTTGTAGTCCCGAAGAACAAACGCGCGCGCGCGCGCGCGCTCGAACTTTGGAAATGGCGGCGGGGCTGCCAGAAGCTCGGCTTGCGCCCGAGCGAAGAAAGAACTCAGCGCAAGCTCGTAGTTTGAGTGCTGCAACGGCGGGCGTGCTCTCGCAATGCTCGATGTTCTTGCAGCCGCGTGTACGCGTGCTACCTTCGCTGCGTCTTGAATTAAAGTGAAACGGAGTCTAGACGTACATTCTTTCACGCGGTCGCGTCTTCTGCGAGAGAGATTCGAGCTGAATGAGTAAATTGAGGCAACAAAGATGGACAAAGTATTAAAGGTCTGTCAAAAATATCGGCTCACCAACGTCGCGCGTTTACGTAACACAAAAAAAAGGTGTTAGTTTTAGTTGCAGTATAATCGAAAATCAGCGCAATTGAAATATAAATATAATTACTTGCATTACGCGGACGATCTGAAATCGATGAACCGGCGCTCCCAGCCTTCCGGAAAACATTGGCTGCCACGGCTGAAACGCTAGGCGTGCCCACGCCGCCGATCTGTACGTTCAATATCAAACGGGCTCCGGAGAGCCGTTTGATTAAACCGGTGCAGTTTGCAACATGGTCGCCGGTTTGAGCAAACCTGCGACAACTTTGCCCAAACGAGTCGCCCATTTGCCCAGACGAGCGACCCGTTTGCCAAATAGGTGACCGTTATGGCTCATACGGGGGACCCCTTTGAGCCATACGGGCGACCCCTTTGACAAACTGGTGACCAGTATGGTTAAACGGTTACCGGTATGGACCCGTTTATTTTCATATGGGCGCCAAAGGGTTTTTTTCAGTAGGGAGAGGACGAAAGTACATAAAATTACCCTAATTATTGCGGCAAAATGTTACATGAACGGAAAATTGGTAAAACTACTTTTGGTGCTTTGCAATTTTATCCATTTTTACAAGGCTTCTTACTGCCTTAATCACAAATCTTTGCTTCCGCAGCTAGAAATTAAGATAGGGTGTTAGCGGAATATAATTGCATTTTCAACCGGTATCAAACTAATCGCACTCTGCAATTTTTGTTTTCGTTTTACACCATAGAACCCGTAGAGGTATGCAAGGAAGTACCTGAACACGGGCCGTGCCGTGCTCAAGAAGTCAAATACTATTACAACAGCAGTGAGAAAGAATGTCAGGAGTTCAAATATGGTGGATGCCGCGCAAACGGCAATACCTTCGACTCCAAGAGCGATTGCGAGAGCAATTGCGCTAGATGTAAGCTTGTTTATTTTTGTTTTAATTCATAGATAATTTTTTATTAAAAACGAATAGTATCTCTCTCGTACTCATCCCTTCCAGTGAAATCTTATCGCATGCCTGCTCAGGGCTAGATTAAAGGGGAGGAACAAAAAACCCTCACTCCAACAACATACCCCAGGTTTCTTTAAGAAAAGTTTTAGACTTTGTTAAAATAAAAATGTTAGGTCATCTGAATAACGCATTGTCCTGTATAACGCATAGATCTAAATAACGCATTGTCCTTCTCGTCACTTCCAGGGAAAGACTAATAAGATTCTGCGGAACAAGAATATGTAGCTCCCTGCCTAACGATCTTTGATGTTCACATAACTTCAGCCAAGCTTTAAAACACCAACTTTCGCTTTCTGAAATCGTCTTCACCCTTTCATTCATCCTCTTTGTTTAAATAAATTAGCATGCTTATATCATTTTATAAATCTTGTTATAGGAATATTTTTGTAGTATTTCTGTCTAGTTTCTTTATAACCTATATTGCTTATTATAAGCTTCAGATGCCTTAGTATAATGGACCCAAATCAGCCACCTGGCTAGGGGTCCATGCGCTTTATCTATAAAGCGCATGAGCACCTAACTTATAATCAAACGAATTAAAATGTATCGAATGGAATCCGTCGCAACGACAGAACCTAACAGTGCTGGCCCATTCATTCGCCCCTGTGCTCGATTCACCACTGTGATTGTCCAGCATAGTGGGGAGCACTGAAGCTTAATTAAGCCAAGTTACTGAGTATTTGCCTCAAAACTAAATTTGAGTAACGTAGAAATTACTCAAAAGGTAAGTAATTTAGTAAATTACTAAACACCGTAAAAAGTAGCAAATACTTTTGAAGTTACATTTATATTTTTATGATAACAAGAATGTTATCATAGGTCATGATCGGTTAGCGAAATTATGCTAGCCATATACGAAGCGGCTTGTGTTTTCACATAAATGCTTCAATAGTTGGTTCTGCTCCATCGTGCCTTATTGCTATGTACTTTTTTCTTTGTGGTCAATTATGTATTGTGGATGTATCATTTCTACTTTGTGATTTAGTAGTACTGCCTGAGCTTGATTTCGCAGACAGTAAATGCTTGTTTACAGTGTTGCGTAATGTTCTCGTAAAAACCACTTGAAGTAAAATACAAAGTAAGTGAGAGGTTATGTACTTGAAGTAAAGTAGTAAGTACGCCTGGTGCAATGTACTTAAGGTACTCTAAATACAATGTACCTTCAAAATAAAGTACAATTACTTTTTAATTCAATCTTTCATGGTGACCTTTCATCCCCTGTACACTGCTTTTTAAATGGTATTCATTGCTTCAGTAATATTCGGTAGTGCATCAGCTTTATTTGAAAATTGTGGCAAATATTGGATAAAGCCAAGTCGCCACATGGTACTTCTCTTGTTCTTGCTGACTCTATTTAAAACAATCAACTCATAAGGCACTTATTTGTATCAGTCTTGTAGCCTCCATTACTTGACTCAGAAGAATTACAATACGGCATTTTTTTTGGAATTTGAGAATATATATTTAAGTCGAGAGTTTAACTTTCCCCGGAAAGTACCAAACATAAAACACTTTAGTAAAGTACAAGTACGCGCTCAGAGTATGTACTTCAAGTAAAGTACATGTTTTCTAAACCTACATGAAGTAGTACTACATTAAAGGAGCTGTGCAACGATTTTTACGTTTAAAGCATTTGCATTTTCTACTTTTGAAATTATTTATCTTGTCACAAAGGAGAGAAAACACATCTCTTTCCTGCAAGTTTTTGCGATTCCGTCGCGTAATCGCGAGACAAAAATTAGAATAGTTCCCGACCTACATCCGCGAGTGGCGGCAGTGAGAACCACGCGGCGTGATGTGAATGGGGTACTTGTAAAAAGATAGGAAGTTGTTAAAATACCCTGCTTGATAACAGGTAATTTTTCTATAAATCGTGTCGTTCCAACATAAATATGAATGAGTCAAACACCTGGTATCATCGATAAAACGTTTATTACACGGAGTTTCAGTGGTGCCATCTAGCCGAAGTCAACGAAACCGTCAGCTCTATCTGCTATCGCGAACAGCCCCCAGAAGACGGGGGGGACGGGGGCAGAACCGGACGGGGACTGCCGAATACGGACGAGACTTTCCTTCTTTCGCCACGTTAATCGCGCTGGGCAAGCGCGTGGTCACGTGGTCGCGAGCGTGTGAGTTCTCGCTGCTCACTGATGGCATTAGAGAGAGCTTCACCGGAACCCCCGCGCGTCCCCCATTGACGTCACAGCGCACATGACTCGGAAGATGGGGAGCGAGTTGAGAGGTGCCGAAAACCTCAATTTTTCTCCATTTTTTATATAAAAGCTAGGACAAACAGGCAAAAGCGGTTTTTTGTTCTTCACTTCAAATAGGTCGAGACACCAAATCCCACAATATTTAAGCAAAGCACTGAAATTGTTGAACAGCTCCTTTAATTACCATGCACTTGAAGTACTTCCCAACAATTCTTGATTATTATTTTTTTAGGTAAACATCTTGGGGGGAATCGCTAAGGTTTTTCGAACTATCTTTGAATGCTGTAAGACCTGCATATTCAGCATTTTGGGAGGAAAGGCAACGCGAAGAGGTCATCTTTGCTTTGGGCTTCAGTACGCGATTCTTCAAGTACAGCACGAACTACGGGAGCACCAGACGAGCTTCGGAGCGGGTGCTGCATTTTGTTGCCTCCTTCGAAGGAGGGTGCAGTGTGTACACCTCCCGAATGAGGGTGCAGTGTGTACACCTCCTGTTGTGGGCAAAAGTTGTTGCGTTTGGGAGAAGCGGGGACAAGCCCTTTCTTTAAATGCTTCGAGTCTCCTTGAGCTTTGTGACTTAAAGAAACGCCAGTCTTCGGGGCTAATCCGGCAGTTACTCGGTCTCACTTCCGACGTGTCTGTCCGCTCCAGCGCTTCGTAGCAGGGGTGTTGCAGACGGAAACTCGTGAAAATTATAGGTGTTTGCGAGCCCTCCAAACCAAGCCACCCCCCTCTTTTTTCCTGTGCCACATGCTTCCTCCTCTTTGGATATATAAGCTGATCTTCCAACATATGATCACTTTTTGTGCAGGAATGTTGGTCGATGAGCAAACGTACCACTAAAATTTGAAAGTAATTTGTAATTTGAATGTAAGTCACTGGGAAAGAGTAATTAAAGTGATTACCGAAATACATATATCATTGAACGTTACTAAACCACTTGGAAACGTAGTTAATCTACAGTACATTCAGTAGAGCAGCAGCTCTTAGTACAAGTCCGAGCTCATGTCGCAATTTTTTGTCGAATCCACGATTCGACGTCGCACCTAAAGGTTCGACCGGTTCGGCGTACCTTCGAACTTTAGGCAAGGATCGACGCAGTTGGATCTACATACACGTAAATATGAACCCAAATCAAATTGATATTTAAATCCATTTTTTTTTTCTGACTCCCTTTTTCTACACTTCAGCAGCTGGCAACATCTGCGCCCTCGTACCCGATGCCGGGACGTGCCATAAAAAAAAGAAGAGATTCTACTTTAACGCAACGGCTCGCGGGTGTCTCCGTTTTGTGTACAGCGGATGCGGAGGTAACGGCAACAAATTCATATCCATGTCCCAGTGTCAGGAACGTTGCATTCGGCGTAAGTGGTTTGATCCCATCTCCGTTCTTGCACGTTTGAGCCGCTCGATATGTGCACCGTTTCCCCATCAAGTCCGACCCGAGCCAACGCCACGACCCGACCGAGCCCCTCGAGCACAGTCAAAAGTGCATCGGCACGATCTCTCTGTTCGTGTTGTGCAGGGAAGCCAAAACTCGCAAACGTTTTGTAGAGTGCCTTTGATCTAAATACGAAAACGCCAAATTCAAAGAGTGCGCATTGCCTTTGTGAGTTTGTTAACACCGGTTAAATCAATCACGCACAGCAAATGCGACATGATCCTGTTTTTTTTCTTTTGCGTGATTGGTTAAGCGGTCCTATCAAGCGCACACGGAAGACGAGCGCCATGACGATCACTTTTTTTTTTTTTTGCGCAATTCAGTTTTGGACATAAATATTAAATCTCTAGCGAAAAAAGTGAAAGTCGTTTACAACTCCCTGTAACGCCGAATTAGAGCGCAGCTCTTGAGGAGTAGGAGGAGGGAAGGGTCACGTGACCTTGGGGGTTACGTGACCCTCCACGTGACCTCGGGGAGGGGGTCACGTAACCTGGGGGTGTCACGTGACCTCGGGGAGTGACGTTACCAACAGAAAAATTTTTACGCTAGATTTTGTGGGGAAACTTTTCCGCTAGATTTAGCGGGGAAATTTTTCTGCTAGATTTAGCCGGAAACCCTTCCGCTAGATTTAGCGGGGATATTTTTCCGCTAGACTTAGCGGGCAATTTACCCATAATGCACCGCGCGGTTACGCCGACGCCGACGGCGATGGCGATGGCGACGGTGACGGCGACGGCGACGGCGACGGCGACGGCGACGGCGACGCCGCTCAAGCTGGAAACGGGCGCCTAAGAGCTGCGCTTTAAAGGAAAACTAGGTAAATTTGTCCAATAAACGTATGAAAATGTATACCAACGCATGAAAATCTTATGCGACTTTTACGTTGTCTATGTGAATTATATAAGTTCTAAAACTGTTGTTCGAAAAATGACATCTAATTTCTTTTTTTTGTAGGAATTTATAATGTTTTTTGTGCTTTTTTCACGTACGCAGCGCATTGCCGAAGGAATGAAGAGTATGTGCCGTGTGTTTACGGCGGCTGTGAGGAGAACACCTGCGACACGAAAAACCCATACCCGAACTGCACTGACCACATATGCAGGAGCGGCTGCTTTTGCACCAAGAACTTCTACAGAAATTTGAAATCGGGAAAATGTGTGCGACTCAAACGTTGTAAGTTACCTACTGCAGGAAACCTTGCGTCTCGCCCATTTAAGCCGTGAAATCTACAAACGTGAATAGTTTAAGTGTAATGAATCTCAAAACTATTGTACATAATTCAAATATTACTTAGCCAAATGCTTTTTTTTCCTTCAAGACAAAGAAGAAAAACTCTTGCAAAGTTGAGTGCATAACACAACAAAACAAAAGACTTGAAATATGCAAACTGCGTTTCACTGGAACAATAGATGAAAATTAATATCGCAGTTCAATTGCTCAGTTATAGACTACTGCAATACCTTTCGCGATATCACATAAAAAGTCAAAATTGCCACAATACGTCTATGCATAGAAACCCGTTGCGACTAAAGTATCTATTTTTATCACCCATTTCCTAGAGTGCAGTTTTCGGTCGCAAGAAAAAAGACACGATTTAAAACTATGCATTTTTTTAATCACTCAGTATCGAATTACCTCCTCCTTCGAACCATCAGAGCTCTAATACAGGAGAGGCCGAAATGACGTAGGATAGGGACTGTGTGAAGAAACAACGAAGGACTCTATTCAATTCAATTCATTTTATGATTTATTCTCCCCCCAAATGGCTGCCGCGCATCAAAAGGGTACACGTACATGAGGCCACTTAGAAAGATGACTATAGTCACTGATAAAGTGATAACGACAGGGCGACTTTTCTTGGAACGCCCGGCCTCTATAGCAGTAGCTTCACGCTTTCTTCCACTTTTTGGTTGCGAGGCCGGGCTCGAGGTGCACCAGACACCAAGTCATTCTCGAAGGTGAAAAACTCGCGATGGAGGCGGGAAAACTAATGCAACACCCTACCGTTCTCATCTTGCCTGTGACTTAGGGAGGAATTATAAAGAGAAAACCTTTCTTAAATTTAAAAGTTTAGAACAAGAAGCCCACATCATAGTTATTTAATGCGCCATACATAAGCTGCATGCGTGCAAATGGAGGACCAGGTTCTAGGTTAGAAATATGACAAAATTGACCCATTTTGTTGCCCAATAGCACGGAGTTCTTTTTTTTTTTTTAGCAAGGAAAACATTGCAACAAAGTTGATCACCCTATCGGGAAGCACCATAAAAGAGGAGAAAGGCCAAGATTGTTTGAAAGCCGCGCATAATAAAAAAAAAAAAAAACTGCCCGTCTCATATAACGATTATATACAACTCTTAAAAAAACGCCGTTGCACAAACTCTTGCCTGCTGTAATATCTCGAGAAATAACCCACCCCCGAAGGGTGTCCCACACTAGTTCTTGACATGATTTGCGATTTTTGTCCAAGACAAAGAAAGATATCCTACCTCTGCTCGAACGAAGTCGGTTAGCTATGGCAGGGGATAACCAAGCAATGCTCACTGGCGATGGTCGTCATAGGTTCATAGCCCCTCGCTGCGATAATAAGTTTGAAAGGTCACCATACCTGTGTGATAAAATGACCGACAGTTTTTTTTTTCTTTTCTTTTTTGACAATGATGGCGAATGCTCACTTGAAGGTTTTGAGGGTGGCTGAGCAAAGTCCAGAGAAACACACCTCCATGTTTGTTTCTTAAGTTTTCTTAGTTCTGCATTGAAAGTCAGTCCACTCCTTATTTTCGCCCGATTTGTTTTCGATTTTCGGTGGGCTATCTGTCAGAATAGTATGGTAAGCGTTTGACAGACGCCCAAGAAATTTCATTTAAGTATAAAACCTCTGAACCTTAAAAAAAAAAAAAAAAAAATCCGGTTGCTATGTTTTTTTATTAAACTTGGGAGCTTGTTGGTTTACGAACAAATTCGACAGAAAGAATAACAGACTTAAGACAAAAGTACGACGGACACTTCTTACAACTTGCGACAACACAGATACAGTGAATCTCCTAGCGGAGTATTTTTGAACCCACCACTGCCCAGAGGGAAGAAGAAGCGATATAGTAAATACAGGATAAACAGGTACACAAAAAAGTAACAGAAAAAAAAATACATTGTCGGATGGAAGAGGAAATACAATGATGTCAATTCCAGAGTGCGAAATTCTATCTCATCCTTAGAGAGAGAATTCCTTACTCCGTATTTCGCATAATAGTATTTCATCTTCCATATGACTATGCATTTTTTTCTCTCACTCTTTTTGTTCCCCGGTTTATCCTGTATTTATTATACCGCTTTTCCTTCCTTCTCGGGAAGGGTGAATTCCAAAACACTACGCAAGGAAATTTATTATATCTGTATTGTTGTGAGTGGGAAGAAGTGTCCGTCGTCCCTCTTTCTTAAGTGCGTTATTCTTTCGGTCTTCTTTGCCCTATGTTCCCCGGTTTGGAATCTTTTCGACACGCTATCGGAGAGATTTTCCTAGGGACAAAATTGAAGCACCACACACGCACTGCCGATGTTAGGAGTTAACCAATCACATCGTTTGAAGAACCTAACGGTTTCACGTAGGTTCGGAATAACCACTGAGAGAAAGCCGCCAGATATACGTCTATGTCCACATAGACACCCAAGAAAGAGGTCAAAAATTAAGATGGCCGATTGGAAACGCCATCTATACTTCAGACACAGGGCTCACATTATTTCGGAATAATTAAAACGTCACGTGAAGGGTGCTACATCTGCCTTAAAAAAATAAAGACAGCAACCCTCCCCCCCCCCCCCCCCCCCAAATGTACAGTGTGTTCTTCCACCACAAACGTTACACTATGCATCGGCGAACACTCATTCTCCGCCAAACTGCAGCACTAGCGGTCCGAACCCAATGCCAAGGATTCAACTCTAACTATTATCTTATTCAAATGTCATAAGTGATTTTCTAAAAATTGCAAAAGGAAAGTGGGGCCCATTTTTGCCCATTTTCGGTAACTCGATGACATCCAGAGCTCTTTCGGCCGCCCTTTTACCATTGAAAATTTCAGAAAATTACTAATAAGGTTTGAATAAAATAACGGTTAGTGCTGAAGTTTCGGCATATGCTTCGGACCTTTAGGGCTACATTATCGCGGAAAATAATCGTTCGGCGATGCGTAGTTTCCTTTTGCTGTAAAAATAACATGTAGTTTTCTTCTTTTTCTTTTTTTGAGTGGGGTGGGGAATTTTTATATAGTAAATTTAAGACAGTTATTCTAGGTTAGTTTTTACTTTTTTTTTTCGGCTGGCATTAGTGTTGCATATGAAGACGAAATTTGCGAGGCGTAGTTTCCGAACCAGAAAGTAGTTCATCTTAGGAAGGTGATAAAAACTAAGGATATACGTAATTATAGCCACTGCTGACGTCGCAAGATACACAGGGCATGGCTCATTATGTGCACGCTCCAGGCTTCGTCATCTCGTTTTCGGTGGTTCCTTGGGCAAACGCCGCCATCTCAATGGCTGCGGTCAGTGATGCCAAACTTTGTCTTGATACATTCGACAACGCTGTATTCAGGTAGTTATTCCATTATTTAATTTGCGTCACCTTCTGCGTTTTTTGTTTTTTTTTTTGTTTTTCTTCTAAACTGTTAGTGACAATATATGGCTTCATGCGCAGCATAGTGCAAATGGTTTTCTTTTTTTTTTTTTCGTTTCATCACCGATTGTTGCCTCTTTCAGGTCCTCGTGGGCCGGTGTGCCGTCAGCCCAAGAGCCAAGGTTTTGGTGCCAAGAAATGGATACGGTACTACTACGATCTCGAAAAGCGAGCATGTTTGCGGTTTGAATATCGTGGCCAGGGCGGAACACTAAATAACTTCAAGTGGTACTTCGAGTGCGTTTTGTATTGCGGAGGTAATTTTTTGTTTTATATATAATCGCGGGATGTTAGCTTTTCACAAGGTACAGCGCTGTTTCCTGGGCTTGTGCACATAGCTAATTTCTTACTATTTTTGTTTTAATTTTTGTTCAAGCTCTTACATAGTTCTGTGCATTGAGAAATAAATATGCGTGACTATACTAGGTAAGAACGGATGAGGCGTGGCAATAGATATGCGTAAGCGTGACTATTTTAATCTGATGCAACCTCCACTTAGCACCCATTCAAGAAAAACGAAGACATCTTCAAACAGGATGTTAAAGCGGAAGTAATAATATAACTATTTCGAAGTGGACAAATACTATCTGAGACTGGTAAAATATTCAGTCAAGTGAGGATACTTTTGACGTTTTTTTTCGGGGTCTATAAAGACACCCGAACGAAGCCGAATTTCCTAAGAGAATTGTGGTCATAAAAGCTCTACGAACCATCCTATATTCGATACCATATACGCAAACGCGTTGCTCACAAACAAGCCCGCGTTTGCCCATGCCAGGTGTGAGGACTGAGCCTGCGCAGAAAACAGACTCGCGTGACGTAAAGCTTCTGCGCATGCGCCATGCCAACCACAGCGCCATCGCTGTAGCGTGACGTCAAAGCGGCTCGCTAGTCTATATCTGCAAGGATTGGTCGCAAACAAAGGAAAGGACCTATACAGAGCTGACTTTTTTCAAGGTCTGAGTTTTCGGCAGTCGGACGGAGGCTTATGGCGGAGTAGCTGACGTCCGATTGAGAAATCGGTTGCACGTCCCATTATCTTGGGGGAATAAGACGATCCTCAGGTCTTTTACCGGGGAATGCCAGGTGTGCTTGGGTGGCTTGGAACACGAACGACAATACTTACACTGACGTTATTTGTGTCACTAACTTGGGTCTTTTACACTCGAGCCAAACTGCAGGAAAAAAAATGTTTCACTGAATTTATGGTTGATGACAACCATTCGCCATCTATCAGAATGTAATTACATTTTCATGAGCTTCAGGTAGCTGGTTTAACACGCCTTCTTAATAAAAAAGGTAAATTTTTTTTTTTTTTTTGTTGGCAAATTTAACTACACAATACAATGTGTTTTATTTCTGTTAAAAATGTGTGATAGCTTGTATGTATTCCAAATGCGTATTTTATGTCGATTCATAAACTTAATCAGTGTTAAAGGCTTTAGTTGTGTTAGTAATATATATAAACATAACGTCATTCATAATTTCAGGTGTCAGGCCGCTGAATACGGGAAGAGGTCCAGAGTAATAAAATGTAAAGGACCACACAAAACCCTTCTTCTACAGTTGCATATATGAAAACTGGTAACGTTGTTTAAAAAAACAAAAACGCCAGTTCCTCACTATACAATCGAATGTTCGTTCGAATTGAGCCGTACAACTTGAAAACTTACTATACAACGTGTGCGATGTATTATAACTAAGAAGCAACTGTTTTATTAAAGCTTGAGCCCTGACTCATAAAATCAGATGTTTAGTAATTTTTGTCGTGTTAAAAGAGTACGAATAAATTAAAGATTCCAAGTTATGTGTGGTTTCCTAATCCCAAACATACTTCAACAAGGTCGCAAACATTTGGGCATGCCAATGCTTTGGCATCGATTTTCAGAAAGGCTCTTACTGGAGCTACATTTTCGCGTTAAACGTCCGCGCTCAGCAGGAGAACGCCAAACAGGCTTTCTTCTTTTCATAAATGTATGTGTATGACAAAAGTAAAAAAAAAATAGCATTATTGTCATTTCTTCCAACGGCGGACTAGAGAAGCTCGCTGTAGCCTCCAGAGCGTGGTCGTAGTTATATTTCCCTTACCGCACAATGCGCGTTAAAAAAAAAAAAAAAATTCATATAAAGTTTGGGATTCACACAATATGGATATTTTTATGTTATTAAAATACACAAATTATTGAAAACATAAAAAGTCACACGCTACTTGGCGACTTTATTGACCACAGAAACCTGGAAATATCTATAAAGTCGTGAAGTCGTGAACGTCACTCTTACCGGCAGTAGTCAGGTCCCGATAGTCTGCCTACTGCTTGTCACTTTTATTTTAACGAAACTGCGGCTTTAGTTAGAACCTTCATGCAAAACATTTTGTCCCCTCCAAGGATTTTTGCGCAGTATCTAGGCAAGAGCAAAACCCATTCCAAGACATCCAATCGATGATCTGGAAGGTATGGGAATAATCTGACAATCTGTGCTAAGATATAAGGGGTATTTTGATGTCCGGTATCGTTTTAATAATTTAATAATTTGTTTGGCCCGGGAAAAATGTTAACCCTACATTCATCGATAGCAAATGGTAGTCCTGGTTTGCCAGCATTTACTGTCCGAGTGAAATTACACTGAACAGTTGAATCTGTGATTTCTTAGCTTCAATTCTCAACCATAACCTTTATATTAAAAGTCTGCACCGGTCAAGTGTAACTTCAGGATGTCGCTCATTTTTCTTGTTACGGAGATGGCGACAAATGCAACCTTGCCTCCGCCACATGTGAAATACTTCCCGCGACGTGGAAAGAAAAGAATATTGAGGCCCAGCAAGTAAATGAAGACTTTCCGTTCGAAAGACCACTACATCTGGCAGATAATGCGCGTAAACGGCGACGAGAACGCATAAAGACCCCTTGAAATGGCAAGCATGCGACCCATTGTGTGGGAGTATTTAAGTTTGAAAGCTGTACGAGACACAAAACCTTTAATGCCCGAATCCACCTTCGGCATTCAGCAGCCGTTCTGAGAGAAGCGCTTCAAATCACTGGAATCTATTGCCGCAAATTGCTCAACAAGCGCCCGCACTCTAAAACAAAGGGTGTATTTTTACACCCTTTATTTCATATAAGACACCCCAAAACTTCAGCTCAACTTACAGTGCACTGACGTCGACCTGACGGTACTAACTTTCTCGAGAGGCTTGATAGCCGTGTGGTACAACTTAATAAAATAGCTAAAGTACTTGTCACTGACTACAAAGAAAAAAAAATCAGGTTTTTCTCGGCTTTACCGCAGAACCTCAGTGTTTCCTTGTTTTTTTTTTTATTTCGTGGTCTTTGATACGCACTTTGGCTATTTAATAAGCTATATCGCACCGTTCCCAAGCCCCTCGTAAAATGTGGGGCCGTCTGTTCGACTATAGTGAGCTGTACGTTGAACTAAAGTTTTGGGGTGCATTATATGGGACAAAAGGGTGTAACGATACACCCTTTTTCTTCGGAGTAGGGCTTGTCATTTCTCCGTTAGAGTTCTCGGCATCATTACACTGAGCACCATCCTCCGTACAGTCGAGTGGTAAATCGCTTTATTTTTTCGTCACACCTCATATCTTATTCATTCAGTAATAATTCGTTAATAGAATAGAATTCCTATATGCACGACTATTATTAATATTTTAAGCTACAGGGCACATAAGAATATGTACGCAGCTTGTGAAATTTGCGCCTTCTGTGCGAGTGATGTGCTTCTGAAAAAAATTACCTGTCCGGACAAGGCTGGTTCCTTCAGCAGCGCACAAGTGACGTAGAAGGTATGAGTTGTGTTCCACTTTGGATGCAAGTATTGATTAATTTTTATAAATAGTGAAATGTAACAAAAAAAAACAGACAGTACGCAGACTGAGCTTCATCTACGTGCCGCTGCGTTTTCTTTTTAAATAATCTTTCACCGTTTAGGTTACACCTAGGGTCCATTTTTTTTCGGAGTTTATTGCTCATCAAATTCAGGTGTTTTCCGGAGTTTATTTTTTGCCAAACATTCAAAGGTTATCGAAGTTCCTTTTGTTCGGTTCCCGATTCTTTTAAGTTTCAAGTCTAATATCACAGTGTTTTTTTTTTATTAAAAAATAAGTAAATATATTATACCCGAGTGTAAATGTATGCTAGATTAAAAATAAAACGCGCTTGTATCAATTAACATTTCTTTAGCTGGAGTTCAAGTTGGTGCCATGGCCATCTTCAACACATATTTTTTTTCATGATGAACGTTGCACACTAGTGTTGTTTCGATAAACGCCGATACCTTAAAAAAATCGGAATACGCATAAACTTTTCCTTTAACGGTGGCACTTTCCCAAGCTTTTTTTTTTTTTTTTTGGGGGGGGGGGGGGGGGGAGGGGGGTGGTGGATAGGGGCAATGGCATATCAAAATTTTGAGGTCATCGAATAAAGTCTATGTGACCAAAATTTTACTGGCGTGTGGTTTTCGGAGTTCTTGGGATTAATCCAAAAACACAAAACGCTAGTTAGTTCTACCTTACAAACGGGTTCAATAGGACTCTCGTGCTGAGCTTACCTGCCCTCTACCGTTCACTCAAAAGCAGGAGCAGTTTAAGAAAAAAAATCTTCTGGTTAGCCTCAGAACATCAATTGCCGTTCTTCATTGAAGTGTGCTTTTCTGAAAACAAAAAAAAAAAAAAAAAAAAAAAAACTAATTATTTCAGTGAGATGTTGGCTGTTTTTTTGAGCACGTTGCATTTTTAACTTTCTTCCTACCTTCTTTTGCAATTTTTTTCACTTTCTTTTTTCTAAAAAGCACGGAATATGGAATTCGGTTTCATCGGGTCCGAGAGGGACTTTGAATGTTTGAGTGTCATAAACACTGAAACATTTTTGGAATCTTGTTAAATGTACTGAGTTTCATTCGACTTGATCTAAAAAAAGCTGTGGTTTAATTTTTTTGGCGGGATCTATCTTGTATACAGTTTGCTTTTTGTGTAATACCAGCGCTTCAGGAAAGGGATACTTCAGTGCTTGCCTGCTCACAAATGGGTTGAATGTGATCCACAATATCCGCAAATGACAATCGCACGTTTGTATTTTGAGCCTGATGACTGTATTTCTCATTATAAACGGCCCAATCCGGCAAGTACTCGGTGAGCAGCCAGCAGTGCACGTGACATCCGCCGCAATCGTCCTGTCTTAGATTGTCTCGGGACGAGCAAAGCTCCCGCGAGGCTGACGTCAACAGGGTGTCCTAGCCGTTCCAGCCACCGAAGCGGCCGAAGCACGCCAGGGCTCGGGCCACTGCAACTAACCCCAAAGCTGCCTTTGTATGAATTTTGAGTGACGGGTTAATCTTCTATAATCTGGTAGAGGGACAATAGCGACGTCTGGGACATACAAAAGAAAGTACCGGTGAGACGGGAGTTCCTCCCTCCCCTCCTCTCTCGTGGTGGCCAGGGAGCTGGAGAAAAGACATCAGGTTCATGGCACGTGTAGTTCTAGGCGAGACAGGCATCGTCACTCTTGTCAAGGTTCCTAGACGGGCATTACAAATGAGGCTTTAGCGACATCCAGTAGGTGCACTTTACTGATCGTTTAATTCTTTAATTCATTTCAAAATTACTTTTCGTTTCTGTTTCAACAAGAGATTGGCGGGTCCGGTGTGATACTACTCCCTTGGACACGAATAGACTAAGAAATAATCGCCGAAATTTTATTGTAGTATCTAATTATTTATTTATTTATTTATTTATTCGGTTACCTACAGCGCTGTTGCTAGGGCATTATTGTAGGGGGGAAGACAGTACAAGATATACACAAATGCATAGTACATAATAAACAGCAGGCTGCGTGACGCGGGAACACTGAAATCGGTGTCTTCGGGGACCCTGAGACCATATTATATAGTCCCCCGAGGGCGAGAAGGCCCACTGAGACAGTAGCCGAGTGTTGATGTGGTGTTGGAGGTGGGGGCGGCTGATGCAATTGCCGTGTGTTCTTTTAGCGAGGGGCAGATGATGCAACCCGCAGCCGCTACACAGTAAATATTTTAACACCCAAAATCGTGTTAAAAGGGTGTTTGTTTTAACCAACACCCTTCCTACACCCTTCCTACACCCTTTTTACACGATTTTGAGTATTGGTGGGTGTAACAGGGGTGTACGAGAAGGCTTACACCCTACATACACCCCTCTTACACCCCTATCGCACCCACAATTTGAAATATGCTCAGGAAATCGTGTTAGAAGGGTGTAGGCGCTCGTTGCAACACCCCCCGTTCATAACGTGTAGGAAGGGTGTGATGGACTTATATGATTTCAAGGAGTCGGAGTTAATCACGTCGAAGAAACCCTTGTCTACGAGAGGAACCGGTAAGGACATCGTGACATCGATTATCGTCATCGCGGTATAGCAGCATGTGCCCCAAATCGAGGAGCTAGCTATGAAATGAGTCGGAAAAAAAAATGTCGCCTGCATTAGCAACTTTGAATTTTTATCTAATATGTGCTTTAAGCGGTGGATTTTATACTTT